ATTCCCACAAATCAGATTATAAGGGTAGACCTATTCTCTGGAGGCCAGGTCTATCAATATAGTGGAAAGGGGTGGGTAGATCTCTTTTCCGGAGGACAGGTCAACCAATATAATGGAAAGGGGTGGGTGAAATATGATTTTATTCTGTTTTCTCTTATAAAGTTTAAGTTATTCTTAAAATATGGTTTAAATATAATTTTAAAGAATTTATTCTGAGATTTTTACAAGGTTATGGAAGTAATCTTCTAAAAAACTAATATACGCTATACTCACTCACAACTTTAATCCTGCTAGCTTTTTTCACTCACGAGGTAGAATTTCTGCTCACAACACTGAGGAGCTTAGAGGGAACATTGATTAGAACCTGTTTATTTGTATATGCTGCAGCTCAAGTTGAATGTGTTTGTAAACCTACCTTCTTCCCAATCCAGTTCATGGCATTTCATGCCGCCTGGTAATTGCTAATAGTGGCTGTGATCCTGCTACAAAATTTAAACTTGGTAACTGGTGAATATTACTGCCACAGTGGATTGGGGGGGGGGAATCACAGATTCCTTAAAGGTTGAGACTAGCCTTGTTGTTATTTCACACTCTTAGGGCTATGTCCTACATTAGGTATTTCCAGACACAAGCTTTCTCATTAAAACTTTTTCTGGTTTTCAGTGCCTAACAGGGTCTACATAAGTCTTGACACTTGGACAGGTCTAGACCTCTCCAGTGGAATGGAGGTGGTGAGGGAAGATCTTGAGCATTCTTGTGACTGAAGACATTAATATCAACCTCTCTTTCTCCTTTCTGTTGGTCCAGTGGCTTTTATTAGGACAATTATAAACTATATGTGAGGTTGCTGCTAGAGAGGTAGGCAAATTATTGGGGGGGGGATGTCTGGCCTGTGGAAGCTTTTCCTCTGGCCCTCAGGTGTCAAGACCATTGGCCTGCCAACTGCAGCATCAGCAAGCACACCAGTGCCCCCCCCCCAAAAAAAATGGTTCAACAGCTTTGATGACTGAGGGCTGTTCAGAGCAGCAGAAAGGACCACATATGAGTCCCTGTTTGGTTTTGATGTTTAAAAACTTCCTAAAATTTAAATGGTTTTAGTATAAAAGGTAAAGGTAAAGGTTCCCTTGCTCAAAAGCCAGTCGAATCCGACTCTAGGGTTGTGGTGCTCATCTCCGTTTCCAAGCCGAAGAGCCAGCGCTGTCCGAAGATGTTTCCGTGGTCATGTGGCTGGCATGACTAAACACCAAGGCGCATGGAACGCTGTTACCTTCCCACCGAAGTGGTACCTATTTATCTACTTGCAATTTCTTGCTTTCGAACTGCTAGGTTGGCAGGAGCTGGAACTAGAGACAGGAGCTCACCCCGTCTTGCGGCACCCAGGTCTCAAACTGCTGAACTACTGACCTTCCACAGCCTGCAGTTCAGCGTCTTAACCACTTGAGCCACCGCAGCTCCTCTGGTTTTACAAACACACATATTTTGTATTCCATCTTAATCTTTTACGATGGAATAACTGAATGATTGGTTTTATATTTGGTCACAAATGTTGATTAGGACCTCCCCCCATTTTACCCTCAAGAGTGTAAGTGGCCAATTTGGCACAGCCCTTTTTATGGAACACCTTTTATCAACTAATTTCATATTAAATAGCGCTAGAATGCTTTTCAGAATTGGAATGTATTGCATTGATAATAATTTTTTTAAATGTTGCTTTATTTTATTTTTTTTAATCATCAGGAGAAATGGGTGGAAGTTGCTTCAATGAAGACTCCCAGAGCCGGCGTGTGTGTTGCAGCTGTAAACGGCCTCCTGTATGCCACAGGAGGTAGGACTGCTAGCTATGATTCAGCTGCCCCGGTAACTTCAGATTCTGTTGAGATTTATAATCCACATATGGATGCTTGGACTGAAATTGCTAACATGATCACCAGCCGCTGTGAGGGAGGTGTGGCAGTGCTTTGAAGAAGACAGTCCTTGTAAAAAATCAACAGGGATTGAATGTTAAGTGTTCTGTGAGGAGGATTCGGGCACCAAGGAAGAGGAATCTGTCTGGAGATGGAGGAAGGAGAGACTTCCATCATGTTCACTCCAGTAACTGCAGCCCCTACTGGAGGCTTAAGGTTTCTCTGTGGCGCATGAGATAATTCCTGGATCATGCTAAAGCCATAAAAATGTTTGATGATGTTTACATTTGACGTGTGTTAAGTAACCTCCTATTTTTCATAGACCAGGGACCAGTTGGTATGACTAGGGCTTTACAGTGTTTGAAGTGTAGCAATTAATGACAATATAACAATGTCATTCCTTAAGGAGAGATCCTAAGCAATGGGGTTTTATCCTCATGAAAAGGTTTATTTCTTTGTGGCCAGGCTTCTGCCTTCTGTTGCATCCTTGAAGAAGATGGACAAGACAAGAATGATGTAGCTGTTTGCTTGAAAAGTCATTTTTGGGGAGTTTTCTGTTGTTTCTTAGTTTTAAAATGCAAGTTTTAAAATCCAGGTTTTAAATTTCTGCTTGCTTCTAGCAGATCCCTGTCACATCACTTATTATTTACCCATCAGGATTCAGCATGAGTCTTTGCAAAGCTTTTAATATCAAATACAGTAACTTCCTTTCATGTTGGAAGCAAAAATATTTTGTTCCTATTTTGCAAATTTAAAGACTTATTGTAAATTATTTTGGGGTCTACTATAAAAGTATTCTACCTTCCTTCATCCTTACTGACTGGGCCCACGTGAACTTTCAAAGGTTCCATCTCAGCCCACATACACACTGAAGCTGAAGGATCATCTTGAAACAAGAATTTGATGTGTACAGAATGTTAAATTATTTCACTAATTTGTTTGGATAATGAGCATGAGTAAGTTGGACAGAAGAGAGTAAATTGGACAGAAGAGAGAAAGTGCAAAAGAGTGATGTATTGATTTACAGAGGATGGGTTTAAGCTACGCACATCATACCAAGAGGCCTTTCCATGCTCTGTATGCTGGCCCATGTAACTGGGGTGAGTCTGTCTGGAAGCATCATTATTTATGGCTGAGTACTGATAACATGTCACAGATGAGTTGCTTTACAGAAGCATGTTAGCATGGAGCAATATATAAGTAAAGGTAAAGGTTTCCCTTGCTTGAAAGCCTGTCAAATCCGATTCTAGGGTTGCGGTGCTTATATCCGTTTCCAAGCTGAAGAGCCAGCGCTGTCCAAAGACGTTTCCGTGGTCATGTGGTTGGCATGACTAAACGCCAAGGCGCACGGAACGCTGTTACCTTCCCACCGAAGTGGTACCTATTTGTCTACTTGCAATTTCTTGCTTTCGAACTGCTAGGTTGGCAGAAGATGGAGCCAGAGACTGGAGCTCACTCCATCATGCGGCACTCAGGTCTTGAACTGCTGAATTACCAACCTTCCAGCCTGCGAACAGTGCAGTCCTAAGCAGAGTTACACTCTTCTAAGCCCGTTGCTTCCACTGAATTTAGGAGGGCAAACTCTACTTCAGATGGCAGTGGAAGTGGCTTAGGTGTGCAAGTCTCATATCTTAATGCAGCCATTTATGAGCATTTTTGTGTAAGAGCTTTAAACATATTGTTGTCATCCCCAACTTTTAAAATACTTTCTCAATATTTTCACACTCCACAAACTTTTCAAAAGACTATACTCCGCCCCGCCCCCCCCATTCTAGCCCTTTTTAGTTTGTCCATGTGCCAGCAGGTTTCACTGGTACTCATTTTCAAGCTAAGTAAGTGGAGTATCTGTCTTTTGAGTAAGACAATTTTTCTTTTTAAAAAGTAGGGAAAGCACAGTCCTCTTTGCACAATATTGGTTTGTAGGTTGAAGTGCTGAGAGAACGAGACTCTTAGGAATATGTATTGATCCACTTACAAGGGATGTTTTCTCTACTACAAGCCCAGCAGAATGGAAAACCTCCAGTGTAATATACTGTCTAGGCCAGAAGTATTACCTGAGGTCTGGATGCTGAGTGTTAATAACCCTCCCCCATGTAACTGTCATTATGGGATTGCGGCAGGTGAGAATCTATGCACACACATACATACATATACTGTATCCTTTTCTGTAGCTTGTATGTGTGCTCTTATACATGCTGAAATTGGTTTTTATATACCTTGCTCTCTCTTTTTCTTTGTAAATACACCTCTCTAGCAGGAGAAATGGTGACGAGTAGCTTATGATAGCAGTAATAGAATCTGAAATTTAAACTTTTCAAGAGCACAATGCCCTGTTGAAGAAGAAGAAGAAGAGATTGGATTTATACCCCGCCCTTCGCTTGGAGTCTCAGAGCGGCTTACAAACTCCTTTCCCTTCCCCTCCCCACAACAGACACCCTGTGAGGTGGGTGGGGCTGAGAGAACTCTGACACAAACTGCTCTTTCAGGAACAGCTGTGCCAGAGCTTGTGACTGACCCAAGGTCACATCAGCAGGTGCAAGTGGAGGAGTGGGGAATCAAACCCGGTTCTCCCAGATTAGAGTCCGCACACTTAACCACTACACCAAACTGTTCAACTAACAAGTGGTTTTCAACCACTGATAACATTTTTTTTAAATCTACTTCTACAGTAGATTTTTATATGATTATGGCCTTACAATATACCTGTTACTTTCAGTGGAACTTCATGGCAGCATATGCGTAGGACTAGTTACTAAGCCTGTAATTCTATCAGTGTTTATTCATGAGTAAGTCCTATTGCTTTTAACTGGATTTCAGATAAATATGCATTTGCATTTACTTATTCATATCCTGCTTTCTTCCTCAGTTGGAATTCAAAGCAGCTTAAAACATTGTTCTCCCCCTTCCATTTCCTCCCAACCACCACCCTGTGAAGCAGGTCAGGCCAAGAGAGTGGGACGGGCCCAAGGTCACCCTGTAAGCTTCCATGGTAGAAGTAAGGATTTAAACCCTGGGTCTCTCAGGATCCTAGTCTGACACTGTATCCAGTGTGCCATACTGACTCTCTATGGGCAGAACTACAGATGTACAACCTGAAGCTCTTCTCAGCAGCAAGAACTCCTGAATGTCATGTGACTTAAGGTACAGTAAATGTGCACAGAATTGCATCCTTAGTCTGCCCCCTTTGTGCACTCCCACAAACATTTAATTAGTGTATTTTTGGCAATGATTTATTGGGGAAATTATTCCATTTGGAGTTTACAAGCAATTTCTGGTATAGAGTCCATCGTCTGTCCCCCCCCCCCCAATATTTGTAGGAAATTCTTTGAAGAGGCTGCAGTATTGACAACAGGACAGCAAGGTGTTTTATTTACTCTTATGTATGTTTTGGGCTTGTATACTGAAGTTGAGTGATTGTAGGCTGAAGACAACTTGTTCCTCCATTATTTAATTCACTAATGCCTGCTGTGATAGTTACTGATTCAGATAGCTGTAGATTAAGACATTCCTCCCATCAAAGTGTTTTTATCAGCCCTGATAGTCAAACTGCACTTTCATATTCAGAAGCTGTAAACCAGTATACTTGACAATAAGCATTAAGAACAGTTTGGGGATATTGCCTGCTTGTAAGTTTTCCCCTTGGCATTCGATTGGTCACTGCAAATGAAAATTGAGCACTTTATTGGACAGACACTTTGGTCCAAATCCTCAGGTTAGTTGGGTTTGTGTTCAAATACCCCATCTCCAATGGAAGACTGTCCCTTAGATTATACTAAACATGTTTACTGGTTCTTCTCCAGGAACAAGACATGGCACATGTACAGGTGAAGCATTAAAATGTAAGACTATCATCCTGTATGTGTTTATATTGGAGTAAGCCACCCACCAACGCAGCAGGGTTTCTTTATGAACATGCTTATGTCGGTTTTAAGCTGCATTCCCCACCCACTTGATGTTGGTAGGAATGGGGTATTCCTGTTAAGTGGGGTTACTCTTTCCACATTAGTGGAAATCAGTGAGATTTACTGCAGCCTAAGGACTTTGGGCTTACAAATGAAGTACTGTGTTCCTGCAGTCAATTCACGGGTTTTGAAACGATAAAACAATACAAGATTCTTATTAATCTGTGTAGAAAAGATATATACAACTTGTACTTTTAAAAAATGAAACAAGTGATAATTGAATAGCTTGTAGAATGTGCACTGCAATTAGCACAACTTGCTATTCAACAACCCTTACATATTAATACTACACAATAAACATGCAGTATACATCAAATGAAGTATTTACTGGTGGTCTTTCACTGTTCACAAAGTAGAATTTTTGCTCACAAGACTCCACAACTTAGAGGGAGCATTGCTTGTATATTTTTTCATACAGTAAGAGAATTCGCTCTCATAGCAAAAGCTTGCTTATTTCTGTGTGCAGATGATGCATATATGTTTTGCATACTGTGGCTCCCTTGTGATGCCAAAGTTCCTCTTAAGCCTTCAGTACTTATGCTTCCACTCAGTTTTCTAATCCTTGAGTATAGCTCACAAACACAGAGTACAACCACCTTGCTTCCTCTGTCATAGTATTTTTCATAGAAGGATTACCAGTATGTTCTTACAGCCCTATAAAAATCCTTTAGGAAAGAAACTGAACTATCTTGGGATATGGCATTTTCTGTTGGTTTATCTTGAGTCTTCGACTTTATTTGTAGCAGGAGCTAAATGCTTCTCTGGGTAAGTGTTTACAATATATAATGTAGCAACCAGAGAACATACAGCCACTAATGTTACAATTGCCCTCAAGGCTTTAAACCAACTGGGATAAGTGGGAAGGAGGGCAAGATCATAATGCAGGGCTATCCCCAGGCCCATAATAACAAGGGTTCCACCTTCAAGTACACTATCTTTGAAAAGCAAAGCAATCCAGGCTACTATTGAAGGAACAATGCTGTTTGCTAAATTAATCCAATCAGGCTTGGCAGGGCTGCCTTCTGGAATAGCAAATCCCCACCTGATCCCACCAAGGAAGGACACAACACAGGCACCATATGCAATCTGAGCAAATACCAACTCTGGATAGGAGGTCTCCTGGATAGCCATTAGCAATGGCACTGAAACAAATGGAATTAATCCTGCAACACTCAAGTACAGGGCAGGCTTTGGAGAGTCCTTGAGTGATTTCATGTCATATCGCAACAAGTCCAGCTTTCGGGGTACAGGTTCTGGAGGTTTCTTCTTCTTCCAATTGCAGCAAGAAGAATGGAAGCCCTGGGCCTTAATTAAGACAGCAGATGTATGCCTGAACAGCTGTGATTTTGGCAGGCCAGTGAGAATGCACTGTAAAGGGACAAAGGAGCAGGCAGTTCTATTCCTGGGTTGCAGTAATATTTGGAGAAACTCCATCTGCAATTCAAATTGCAAAAACACATTAGTAGTTGTGTCAAGGAGTCCAAGCCTGAACCCCATGAGTCCCCAGGGCAACTGTACACAAGTAACCAGACTGTTGTTATAAAGTTTATTTCAGTTTCTGTTAATATAAGAATTTATTCTATAGCCAACACATACTCCAAAATCATGCAGCAAGAAAACAAGAAAGCTAGCTCAACTTCTTGAAGTTGCATTAGATGGCACCAACCTTAAAGTCAAGAGTCAGCCAAAGTATAAGCATTCTCTACGTTGCTATAGCACTTGCAATTCAAACAGGTCAAAGTTCAGGCATTTCGTTCATCAGGATCCCAGCTAGCTTCTTTCAGGGCCTTAGCTCAATTATAGTTTTTGGCCCAACAACCGCAGGTGATTATGACATCCAATCCAAACACATTATCAGGAGAAGCATCTAGAAGATCATCTCATCACCCCTGACTCTCCTCCCCCCATTCTACCTGCGGCAGCCTCTCATGAAAAGCTAATCACATCACCTTCCATCTCTTGCCTTGATGGACAGACCCGTTTCACATTAACCCTTGAGGGGGAGGCCAAGGGTGCTTTGCCTCACAAGCTGATAATAGTCAAAGCTGTGCTGATTTAAAGGACCAGTTACTTTACTTTATATGGTCTTGGATGTGATCACTTTGATTTAGATAGTTTAGGATAGGGGTAAGCAAACCTTATACAGTCAAAGAGTCAAACTACATCAAAATTCAGAGCAAATATAAGAAAGACAATTTCATGACAACCTATACATCTTTACTGATAGACAAGTTGATAAATAATCCATAAAGCTTTTGCCAGTGCTAGGGATGGGCAAGAACCAACTCACGAGCCAAAATTGGGCATGAACTTGGGCCAGTTTGGAGCCCCTGAACTGATGCCTTACCTGAACATTTACTGGATTCTTGTCTGGTTAAGTTTGGCTTTTCAGGCCATTTAATCTAACATCTGAGTGGTGTGGGGTCCACAGCTGAGCTCTTAGGTTGAAATGGCTGTGAGTTCACCAGTCACTTTCACTGTTCCCCATTTCCGAGTGGGGGGAAGTGAAATGAACCGGTGAAATGGCTCACAGCCATTTATTTATTTATTTATGATTCAATTTATATCCCGCCCTCCCCTAAGGCTCAGGGCGGCTAACAATTGGGGCAAAAGCCATAATTAAAACAATTAAAACAAGATAAAAACATAACAATAGTACAACAAAGTGCTGGTGCACTGATGTTCCCAGTTCCAAGATGGGTTCCAGTAGGGTGGATCCGGACCAACGATGTAAGTTCCAAAGTGGCAGATAGCCAGTCTTCTTCCCAGGGCCCACTTGCACCCTGATGGCATCTCTGCCAATTTTCGGCGACGGTGCATTGATGGAACAGTAGCGGCAGCGGCTCCTACTCGAAAGCCTGGCGGAAAAGCTCCGTCTTGCAGGCCCTGCGGAACTGCGCAAGATCCCGCAGGGCCCGGATCTCCTTTGGGAGCTCATTCCACCAGGTAGGAGCCGCCACCGAAAAGGCCCTGGCCCTAGTCTAGGTGAATATGACGTTCCTGAGGCCTGGGGTAGTCAAAAGATGTTGGCCCCCCGACCGTAGTGCCCTTGGGGGAACATATGGGGAAAGGCGGTCCCTTAGGTATGCCGGACCCTGACCATAAAGGGCTTTAAAGGTAAGAACCAGCACTTTGAAGCAGATTCGGTACGCTATTGGCAGCCAGTGCAGCGTCTTCAGCACAGGCTGGATGTGGTCCCGCCTAGTGAGACCCATCAGCAGCCTGGCTGCTGCATTCTGCATTAGCTGCAGCTTCCGGATTTGTGACAAAGGCATCCCCAAGTAGAGAGCGTTACAGTAGTCCAGCCTCAAGGTAACCGTCACATGGATCACTGTAGCCAGGTTATCACGGTCAAGGAAGGGAACCAATTGCCGTACCAGCCAAATTATAAAAGGCTGACTTGGCAGTGGCTGCTACCTGGGCCTCCATCGTTAAAGAGGAGTCCAGGAGCACTCCCAAACTCCTAACCCCCAACACTGGCACCAAAGGCACCCCATCGAAGGTCGGGTGAGGGAGTCCCAACCCTGAACCGGCCTGACCTAGGCCCAGGTTGCCGGGTTTAGTTTCAGCTGACTCAGTCTGAGCCAACCAGCCACGGCTTGCAACGCCTGTTGGAGGTCATCTGGGTTGGAGTTTGACTGGCCGCCCAGCATCAGACAGAGCTGGGTGTCATCCGCATATTGATGACACCCCAGCCCATACCTCTGGGCAACCTGGGCAAGGGGGCGCATGTAGATGTTAAACAACATCGGGGACAGCACTGCCCCCTGAGGCACCCCACAATCAAGAGGGTACCTCCGGGACCGCTGCTCCCCTATCGCCACCCTTTGTCCCCGACCTTGGAGAAAAGAGGCAAACCATTGGAGGGCCAGCCCCTGAATCCCCACGTTGGCAAGGCGGTGGGCCAGCAACTGGTGGCCGACCGTATCAAATGCAGCCAACAGATCGAGCAACAACAGTGCTGCCACACCACTTCGATCCAGATGCCTTCAGAGGTCGTCAGTCAGGGCGACCAATGCCGTCTCTGTCCCATGACCCGGGCGAAAGCTGGACTGGAAGGGGTCTAAGACTGAAGCATCCTCCAGAAAACTCTGTAGCTGTATCGCCATCGCCCTCTCGATAAGTTTGCCCAAATAGGCAAACCTCACAGCTGACCCTCACATTTCAGCCTCACAGCTGAAAGGCAGACTGAGCCGGTTTGGGTGGGGCCTTTTGGCTCGGTTCAGGGCTGCCCCAAACCAGGTTTCTTCGGTTCGTGCCCATCCCTCCCTAACAGTGGTTGTTGTAAGCCTATTAGGAAGTAGCACACATAATAACTATAGAGGAGCATTCTGCCCAAGTGTCTTAGTGCACTAGAAGAAATCTGTATATAGTTTCCACTTGGATTGCTGTCATATCTATAATTTTCCTTTCTGTAAAGCATGTCTAAAAAACTCTTTGGTCTAATAAAAACTTTGCCTGCTATTCCGTTCACACACTGATTATTCTAGAATCCCACCCAGGCCTTTGATTAATTGTAAAGATTTCATTTCCTTTTTTAAAGAGCTGCATTTGGCTCTGTACCCATAGGTTGCAGACTGCTGATCTAGGAGGCTAATTTGTGTATCAGCAATGGTTGCCAATTCCTGGGCATTTTTTTACATTGTAAGACAGTAATACTAATACAGAGATTCCTGCCCCATTCCTTTCTTGAAATATAATTTCCATTTGCTCAAAAATGCCCCTTTCAATATTAGAGCAGCATAGTCACAGGATGAATTGCCATAGAAAATAGTCAGCCAAAGTGTTTTTAGCTGCAATCCTTGCAATATCTGGTAATGAGCACAAACCCATTACAAAACCAAATGTAGCTCTCCTTTTTATTTATTTAGAATATTTCTATGACAGCTATTTGGAGTCCTGCTTGAAGAAACTTACAATTTAAAAACACAATATTAAATCATAAAACACAAGCAGGAAAAAAGTAGGTGCTAGACAAGCCTCAAGGGGAAGAGCAGTCCAAAGGCAAGGTGCCACTACAGATAATTCCATCTCTAGTCTCCACCCACCTCTCCTCTGTAAGTGGGGGCACTGTGAGCAGGGCTTGAAAGGCAGATATTGACTGGTGGGTTGGATAGTATGGGAAGAGATGGTCCTTCTGGTATCCTGGCCCAAGCCATTTACAGCCTTAAAGGTAGGAACCAGTACTTTGAATTGTGCCCAGAAAGAGAAGACAATAAAGGTTTTTCAGAGCAAACTAGTGATGAATGGCAAGTGAATATTCTGGCTGCTGTAATGTAGTTCCAATTGTGTGGGAGGAAAAGATTTTCAAGCAGTGGACATGGGTTACTCAGTTTTCAGAAATTCTGTGATATTAAGACATCTGTTAACTGAGAGAGTTGGCAGAGGCATGGGAACACCATGTGATGCCAGCGATCCTCTGGGAGCAGCTCTCACATGGCAGTGAGCACATTAAACAACTGCAACTAAAAAGCCATCTACTGACCTTCCTTGCAGTGACTGAAATGAAAGAATGGGTCCTGAACAGAAGTGTTTTCCCAGGAAAAGATCTTAGAGACATTAGTCTAGCAAAGTCTTTAGAAGCAATGAGACAAATAATTTTTTAATGGACGTCTTGCTTGCTGGAGTCTTTTCATTAGAAATTTAAAGTCTTACTTTAGATGCCCTTAATTGGCTGGCTCTGTGCCCAATGCACTACAAATCACAGTTAGATTCTACGCTCATTGTGACCCAGGAACTTAAATATAATGAACATTTGTGTTCTAAAGCATGCAGTAGGATCTAATGTGCCTTAACAATGTAGCTTAACTAAGTCAAAAAGCAACAAAACCTGGTCGGGGTGGTGGTGGTCACAGTTCAAAGTTATTCACATTTCAGGTTGTACCGTAAATGTATTTTGTCCCAGAAACCTTTTCGCTGATCATGGGTTTCCTGAGCAATATAGTGGCCCAGCTGGTCCTACAGAGATCTCCATCCAGGTAATGTCAAATGTCAAAGGGGGTGGGGTTTGAGGCAGTAATGAAGTGTTTCATCCATCACTCTCATTTGCACCTAATAGTTTTGCCAGATTGCAGAACATCATAATTAACAATACAATGACATATGCCATCCTCTTCTGGCATTGAGCAACATGTAATATTGAACCAGTAATCTACCAGCCATTTATATTTTCATTTTCCATCATTTGTGTACTAATTACTATAATAAAAAGGGAACAAAACTGGTCAAAGCAAAACTGTATTTTGCTGTACTTCAGTACATTATTCAATGGGAATAAAGTAAGATTAAATTCTCTACGATGAAAAACATGAGAAACGTGTGTGTGAGAGAGACTCTCTGTGTGTAGGTGTAAGAGACAGAGAGAGCAGTTTTTCCTTTGTAAAGAGACTTTCTGTATATAAACAAAAGATATTCTTCACAGTCAAACTTTAGAAGAACTTTACCTTGGAAGAAACTTGGAAATATCGTTGAAGAAGGTGAAACATTTTCAAACACGCTGAAAGATGGAGAAAAAGTTAAATTAATATGCTTACTTAGCTTCTATGACCAAAGGTCTTAAGATCAATTAACAAATTAATATGCATTTATGGATTATCATCTCCTAAAAGAACAAACATAGATTAGAGTAAAATCCAGTATGTTGCTGAGTTATGCAGATACAACCTTCATCCAGTTCCAGCTCAAGCAGGGCAGGGTTCTGTTGGGAGGCTCCAAAATATCCCAGCCATATACTTTGGCAAATCAGCTCAGTCAAGGTCTGAGCAACTGGCTGCTGGTGTTGAAGAGAAATAGTGACCAAGTAGAGGTGCTGTGGACAATGCTCCCTCTAAAGTGTAGAGTCTTGGGAGCAAAAATTCTATTTTTTGAGCTACTGCCATTAAAATTGTGAGCAAACTATTTGGCTACTGCATAAATCAGTTTGCTTTGGAGCCATCCTTCCTGAGCTAAGACAAAAATGTGTGAGCCGGAGGCTAAAAAACTGAGCTAGCTCATGCTAACTCAGTTTAGAAGAAACACTGGCTGTGGATTATAATTTAGATCTACTTTTGCCACCTTCCTTTTCAAAAGAAGTTTAAAGAAAACATTCAAAGAAAGAAAAGTATTCAAAACAAAATGCTCCAAAACAAAGACAGTGCTTGAGCAAAATAAAGTTAACAGGACTACTAACTAGATCAAGATGGGTAGCCATGTTTGTCTGTAGCAGCAGAAAAGAGTTAGGAGTTCAGTAGCACCTTAAAGACTAACAAAAATTGTGACAGGGTACGAGCTTTCTGAAGGAGTGAGCAGTGGCTCATGAAAGCTCATATCCTACCACAAATTTAGTTAGTCTTTAAGGTGTTACTGGACTCTTACTCTTTACTAGAACTCAGAGGTCATTTCGGGGGGAACGCGGGGGAACACAGTCCCCCGGGTGAGGTGCAAGGGGGCGGGGCACATGATGAAGCCCCGCCCCAAGCTTCCGGCCACCCCGCTTCCAGCCCTCATTCAGCCAGGAGGAGGCAGGAGAAGAGGGAGGGTAAGTTGCTTCCTCCCCGCCTCTCCCCACCCCTGCCTGCCTGGGGCCAGGGAGGGCCTTGGCAGGGCTTCCTCGCACTCCCGCTGGCCTTGCAGGTCCACCGCCGGGCCCCTGATGTCAGGGGGTGTGGCATATGCTAATGAGTTATTCTAATGAGTTCCCCTAGCTCTTTTTCTACGAAATGACCCCTGCTAGAACTACTAACTATAATCCAGTAAAATGAAAGCTCAGATTTCAATTTTTAAATACTGCCAAATTTGTAGTCCTGAAATTGCAACAGTGTTTTAGATCATTTAATAAATAGATCTTGTTCATTTTTTAAAAATCCTTCACAAATATGTATTCCAGTTTTCAGAAAGCAAAAGATTGCATATCCTTGCTATGTAGATTATTCCGCTGCTCTTAATGTGTTGTAAAAATAGACAGGGGCAGCCAAATACATGCATTTAGTAGGCACCCCTAACTGTATAGGATCTAACTTGCAGGGCCTGCAAGACGGTTCTGCCAGGCATTCAATTAGGAGCACCCCGGAGAATGCCCTGTCCCCTGAAATTCTTAAAGCAGCCTGAACCACCCGTGCAATATCAGATCGGGATCGACCACTAGGACAGCACGGAACTCTGAGCGCCATCTCAAATGTAATGATAAACTGTTATCTGTTTAATGGTAATTGGATTATTATTGTTTGTACCTTTTAATGTTCTGATTGTTATATGGTTTTATGATTATTATATTATTTATTGTTGTTTTTATGCTGTTGTAAGCTGCCCTCAGCTGACCATGGCTGGGAGGGCGGGGTATAAATGTAATAAATAAATAAAATAAATAACTACTAATTTCAGGTCTTCCAGACATTCACAACCCAAATGCATCGTATTTGCAAACAACTGCTTATGTTTTAGCAACCTAAAAAAACGTGGGTCCTAGCCTTTTACAGTTTTTGGAAAGAAAATTTGCTCTCCCCTTTCTTTAAATGTAGGGGACTAACACTAACGTCCCCACCTCGCTAAATTATTGCGTGCCCGTTTACATACTCACCCTTTAGTCAGTAGCACGACTAAGGAATTACAACCTATAGTGTCAATCCCGATCTTTAAATTTCCAGTTCTAAAAAGCAAGGGAGAAAGCACGAGTCGATGGCTTTTCAGATACCCACAGAAAGCTTCCTCACAGCCCAAGTACGATAAGCGACAAATGCGCTCGTCTACAAACGTACAGAAAACGCGTTTAGTCTTCTGGTTGCAGCAGGCTAGCAAATGAAACCATAGATCAGTCCTATAAACAAGCGATGCGATCGGCTATCCAAGCGTAATCCCTACTTCCCAGCCAGGAGAACTCAATTTCCGGTACTGTGGTGTAAATCAACCGTGTGTGTGTTCTGTATTTAGGCTCTCGGTTTGAAAAACAGATCCTTATCCAGTTCCTGTTTATTAAGGGAAATGTGCGTGTCTCTCCGTTCAGTTTCTTCATTTAACTGCTGTTCGTTCATATTGCGAAAAGCTGTGTGTGTGTCCGGATAACTGCGATGTATTTGGGCAGAATTCTGTAGACATTTTGATAACAGGAAATTAGTCGTCCGACCTTTGATTGTTTGTGATATATACTTATAGAGCCTGAACGTATCTGTAGCGACGTCGTACGTATGTATCATAAATAATCATAATCGTACAGTTGGAAGGGACCTCTAGGGTCATCTAGTCCAACCCCTGCACAATGCAGGAAATTCACAACTACCTTCCTCCGCCCCACACACCCCGTGATCCCTGCTCCATGCCCAGAAGAGGGCAAAAAACCAGTGGTCATGTGGCTCTTCTGGTTGATGTGAATGTGGCTCTTGACAAGCCATGGGGCAAATACCACTGCACAATAGACACAGGGTAAAATCCCAATCAATCATCTTTAAAACATACTGAGGCATTGAGAGGCTAGCTAGCGTCTCTTGGCTGACTGCATGTTCTGGAAAATCGACTCCATGGAGTGAGGATAGTTTCAGAGGGTAGCCCTGTTGGTCTGCAGTAAGAGTTAGATTTGAGTCCAGTAGCACCTTAAGAGACCAACGAGTTATGGTATAAAATTTCGAGAATGAGGAGTAAGCCTCGGGTGGCAGAGCAGAACACTGGGTACAAAAGTTGGTAACGGGCTCATTCAGAATTGTCTCCAGTATGAGGAACAAACTATCTGGTTTGTCTCTCTTATTTATTTCTAAGGCTTTAAGGTGAGAATTCATACTTATTTTACTCAGTTTAGGACGAGATTCCAGAGTCAGTAGCTGTACTAAGGACTATACAAAAGTTCAATAGCAAATTCAAGACTAGTAATTTATTTGAGCGTGTATACGCTGAACTTCCTGTGTGATTTTGCTCCCCTTCTCGAAGTACTGAACTTCCGTCTTTTATGATGTTTCTGCAAATTATTTTTCTGGATCGGTTAGTATATTTGAAACACTTTCTGCGAGTTATTACAATGTCTTCCTTTTTTATGACGTTCGAAGATTCCAGCAAACTGTCACTAAGAACGGCGTTGCTGTGCAGAAAAATACGTCCATAAATTGCTTTGCATAGATGCATACTTTATTTAACAGGAAAGTTAAGAAGCATGAAGTCAATAAACTGCTCCAAGATTTAGTGGGGAAGAATTAAATCTAAATGGCTTGCACGAAGCATCTGGCAAACTTAGGAACGGGCTAGAGGCGTGCGCCTGTGAGCGTCCTCGGTAGCGTTTGCTCGATCTCGGTTTCTTGCCTGGTTCTTTAAGACTGGACTGGGACGATCACTGCCGGGGGCGAGAACAGATGAACCTCAGTGGGAGTGGGATTTAATTGGGGAAGCGCGCACTATTACGGAAGTTGCAGCTGTCGGTTGATTAGCCTGCAGTCACTGATAACACGCAAGAGACACACAAGCAGCGGGGGAGAAATGGTCTTCCACACACGCATGCGCAAAGCAGAGATGTTCGATTCCGCGCGAGCGTCCGGAAGAGTGTTTGGGCAACACGCGTGAGGTTGACGGGTGAGTAGGAGAAGAACGAGTAAGCGAAAGTGAGTGCGCGTGCGCTCCAGCATTGGCACGGGCTGGCCTAGGTGGGTGTGTCCCCCCCGCGTGGGTAGCCCGCCCCCTCCGGCCCCCGGCCGGGCAGGGCCGGGCAGCCATTTTGGGCAGAGCTTTGTTATGATTCGGTCTGGGGAACTCAAGCTACACGCAGAGTAAAGGGGGCTGAGTTAGGGCCTGGTCCCGCGCGTACGGCCTTGGGTGGAGAAGAGGCAACAAGAGTAATCGATGTTGAATTGCCCGTGTCTTTGAGGACGCCGAGGTAGGGGTTGAGCAGGGGGTGGGAGCTTGGAGGATGCATTGGGGGGGGGGGGGGGGGGGGGG